GACTGGAGTGCAGTGGCCGCTCCCGGCCACCGCAGCCTCGACCTGCTGGGCTCCGGCTATTCTTCTGCCTCAGCCTTCCAAGTAGCTGGAACTACAGGTGTGCGCTACCACGCCTGGCAAATTTTAATGGAGATTTCTTACAGCGACTTTTTTTTCAGTAGCTCCCTTACTACTTAAAGATTCATGTTTAAAAGAAGCAAATTAATGCTAACGTGGTACAGGCATAAATCAATGTGATGATATAAATCTTACTGATGATATCCCAGCATAAAAATTAAGTGATCAATTTTATGATACTGTGAAATGAAATCAATTTTTTCTCTTCCTTAAGATGCATATTAACTCTTCCCAAAATTCTCTTCAAATGAATTAATGAGTAACTGAAGAGAGGGAAGAGAGTCCAAACTTGCAAAAGTGTGTTGTTAGCAGCCTCTGTGAGTCAGCTCCCAGTGCTTTCCTTTCGTGATCACACAGTTCACCTCCTCGGGCTCTGGAGGGGCTACTGAGCAAATGATGCAGATTCCAGTCTTATTTCACCGAGTGAAATGGCACTCGGGCCAAGAGTGGTGACTCACGTCTGTAATCCCAGCAGTTTGGGAGACTGAGGTGGAAGGGTCGCTTGAGCTCGGGAGTTCAAGACCAGCCTGGGCAATGTAGCAAGACTCCACTTCTACAAAAATCAAAAAATTAGCTGTGCACGATGGTGTGTGCCTATAGTCCCAGCTACTCAGGAGGCTGGGGCAAAAGGATTGCCTGAGCCCAGGAGCTGGTGAGCTGTGATTGTGCACTCCAGCCTGGGTGACAGAGTGAGACCACAACTCAAACAAACAAAACAACAACAACAACAAAAGAAAGAAATGGCACTCGGGCCAGGAAAGTTGAAGATTAAAGGTGACATGTCCCTAGCAATCAAACTGGAGAAACTAATGAGTCAAATGAACACTAGTAGGTGAAGAAAAAGAATGATAAAGCTGGGCATGGTGACTCATGCCTGTAACCCCAGCACTTTGGAAGGTGAAGGAGGGTGGATCGCTTGAGCCCAGGAATTCAAGATCAGCCCAGGCAACACAGTGAAGGCTTGCCTCTACAAAAAAAAAAAAAAAAAAAAATCAAAAAATTAGCTAGGCATGGTGGTGCACCTATAGTCCCAGCTACGTGGGATGCCAAGGTGGAAGGATCACCTGAGCCCGGGAAGTAGAGGTTGTCGTGAGCCATGGTCGTGATCATGTCACTGCATTCTAGCCTGGGCAACAGAGTGTAACCTCGACTCAGGAAAAAACAAAAACAAAAACAAAAAACCAGTATCTATCTATCTATCTAAACATCTAAGCTCAAAAAGTAAAAAGCTCAGCTGCTTAAAATGGAATGATTGTTTTCTCTCATTGTATTATAAGGATATGCATGCATGTCCTGGAATTTCTGTTATTTATATGACTTGAAATTCTATTTCAAACAGTTAGCTAATCAAAAGGAAGCTTCATTAAGTAGAATTCTAAGACATTCTAATTTGCATATTTTGTGGAGTTGTTCCTCCAGGCCTTGTATTTCATTTATCATCTTCTGCCAGGAGAAGTATCATGAGCAGCCAATCAGGGTCAAGTAATCAAATGAGCTATTTTCACAGCTTCTTCTCAAGTAAAAATGTTCTAAATGTTTACTTTTGGATTATATGCTAATAAAAACCTGGAAATGACATTTTGGATTTTTATATATTTATTTTAAGTGAAATCTTTTACAATGATGTTCACAGAAACTACATCATAAACTACTAAAATACTCCTCGTGAAAATAATCTGCCTTTTGATCTTTCTTGTTCCCTTCCTTCCACTTTATGTGCATTTACTTGGAAATTCTTCTGGCTTCCTTAGCTTGTTAATTCCAATCCTAGACGATCTAAATTGTCTAACATGTGCATTTAAGGCTATAAATTTCCCTTTTCTTAACATGTTAGCTGCACATCACAATTTTAAAAATATTGTTATTGTTCAAATAATTCAGAAAGTTCCACAGCAATTTCCTCCTCAAGCCACAAATGATTTAGGAGTACACTCATTCCAACTCTCTTTTCTTGTTGACTTTTTTTGTTTTTACCATCATCTCTAAATAAGATGCTTAAATTACTCTGTCTTTTCTCTCCTCTTGCAGGCATTATCTATTTACCACGCATCCTAGAAAATAAGGATGGAGCTCTCTTACATCACCAATCACAGCCCCATTCTCTGCTCCATCTCGCGGCCCTCCCAATAGTTACATGAGAATTTTTAGTGGATAGTATCATTTCATTATGATGACTATGTAAATAACACTCCCAGCCTAGCCTGGTATTAGATAATTGTCGCTTCTCCTTTCCTGCTCTTCTGGTCCACAACGGCAAAGGTAAGAAACGTGCTTTCCTTCTGATAGCTTTCAAGATTCTTCCATTTCCTCAACAATTATTTAATTTCACTGCATCTAAGTACTGATTTGACTTTAGTCTTCTGGGTGTTCAGTATGCTTTAAATTTGGAGTCATATCTTTTTATTTTTAATTGATGAATAACAATTGTATATATGTACGGGGTACAATGTGGTGTTTTGATATATGTTTACAAGGTGGATTGATAAATCAGGCTAATTAACAAATCTATCCCCTCATATACTGATCTTTTTTTGTGGTGAAAACATCTAAGATCTATTCTTTTAGCCATTTTGAAATATACAATGCATTATTACTTATTATAGTCACTATTCTGTGCAACAGATCACTAAAGCATGATCCAACAAGCCCACTTCTGGGAATATAGTCAAGGAAATTGAAATCGGCATGTTGAAGAAATGTCTTCATGTTGATTGCACATTCATGCTCACTGCAGCATTATTCACAATAGCCAAGATATGAAAATAGCTAGAGTGCCCATCAGCAGATAAACGGATTAAAAAGATGTGGCACATATACACAATGGAATACTATTCAGCCTTAAAAAAGGAAATCCTGCCATTTGCAATAGGGATAAACCTGAAGGACGTTGCGCTAAGTGAAATAAGACAGGCAGAGAAAGACAGATACTGCCTGGCTTCACTTATAAATCGAACTCCTAGAAGTGGAGAGTAAAATGAAGGCTACCAAAGGCTGGAGAGATGGGTGGACAGGGAAAGGAAACAAGTGGGTCCACATTCATTTTTAAAGTATCATCGTATCAGTTTCAGATTTAACCGTACTGTGTTCAGAGAGGGTAGGTTATATGATGCTGATTCTTTATTGTTTGTTGAGATTTGCCTTGTGGCCTGGAACATAGCCATTTTTTATAAGTATGCCATGTGTGTTTGAAAATAATCTAGACTAGACCACGGAAAGTCTGAAAAGAATTTCCAAACATTCAACATCACACAGAGCAGTCTTACAATGCAATAACATTTAAAACTTAAAAATTAAAAATGATTTGCTTTAAAACTCACACATTTGGAAAGAATCACTTCTAAATAGTTAAATAATCACAATTTAAATTATGACACATTTAGAAGTGAATATCAATAAAAGCACCATGCTTCAAAAATGTCGTATAATTGCCTCATGATTTCTATTCCTTAACTATCTCACAATTTTAATGTATGTATTCTAAAATCTCTGTGAGATGGTCTATTATCTGTGGTTCTGGGGGATGAATTCTGTTTGTTGCGTCTGCTGACTTTCTCAGGTAATTTTTTTCCCTTCAAGTGCTTGGTAAATTCCACTCGTCTTCCATTTTTGACCAAAGGAGCCCTGGGCTGTGGAGCTGTCTCTGTGTGGTAGGTTATGTGAACTTGGAAAGAACCACTCTGTACGGCAAAAACCTGTAACTCCAATTTCTCTCAGGACACTCTCTAGGTCCCACAGCCAAAGGTCCTGTGTGGTAGCCCTGTGGCAGCTGGGGTCTTACTAGTCCTCTTTTCAAGAACAGGTTGACAGCATTTTATAGTCCCTGGCTTTCTGCAGGGAACACAATGCCAGCACCAGCCCCTGCTCCTCACTGTGGCTTCTGAGTTTTCCATTCATATCTGGCACCTTGTGTGTACCACCCCCTCCTGCTTTCAAGTTTAGTGATGTTAGTAAAAACGTTCTTGTAGCTGGGCTCGGTGGCTTAGCCTGTAATCCCATGCTTTGGGAGGCTGAGGTGAGTGGATTGCCTGAGCCCGCGGGTTCTAAACCCGCCTGGGCAGGCAAGACCTTATCTCTACAATAAATCAAAAAATTAGCTGGGCGTGGTAGCGCATGCCTGTAATTCCGGCTACTGGGAAGGCTGAGGCGGAAGGATCGCCGGAGCCCAGCAGGTCGAGGCTGCCGTGGCCAGGAGTGGCCACTGCACTCCAGTCTGGGCGACAGAGTGGGACTCCAACTCAAAGAAAACAAAATAAAAAAACGTTCTTGTGACATTTTATCCAGCTCTTCTAGAGACTTGCAGTGGGAGGAGGGCCTCTCATCTCATCACACCATCCACACTGCCTGAAAGGCCAGAGGAAGAATAAGTGAGCCAGCAAATAGCTCCAGTCTCCTTATGCAAATAAGAAGTATCCTTCTGAAGAGAAAGTGACAAGACATTGCCCAAGAAAGTAGCAGCAGGATACACCCTCAACTGGTTATCTTGGTGGCTCTCGAAAGAGAGTGCCCTCAGTGGTAGAGAACAGTCAGATCTCAGTACACTTATGATCACCATGTCATTTTTTTGGTAAAGAAATTGTGCATCAAAAAAAGACAAGAGAAGTGTGTTTAGAATTCAATTCATAATGACAACTAACACAAGAACATTAAAAAGGCACCCTTTCATGTTTTATAATAAATACTCACATTCTCCAAAGGATATGAAATGACACTGCCCAGAGGCAGAGCCAGTCTGTCCACTCCCTTCACCATCACCATCACAGTGGCCCGAGGACGGCGGAACAGGTTTCCCACTGCGAGTCCCGGCCAAGAAAGGTCCTAAACATTGAAAAGCAAGACATGGTGCTAAATGATCCACTTGGGAAACCATCTCCCCAGTAACATCTAATCAGCAGAGTTAAGGGGTTCTAGAATGATATGGGCAAGGGAATTTCACAGGAAAGTAAACATCTTATCTCTGGCAGTAGTTGCAATCTCCTCATCAAGAATGCTGATTTCAGCTGGGTACAGTAGCTCACGCCTGTAGTCCTAGCAAGTTGGGAGGTCAAGGCAGGAGGATTGCTTGAGCCAGGAGTTTGAGACCAGCCTGGGCAACATAGCAAGACTTCTTCTCTACAAAAAATAAAAAAATTAGCTGGGTGTGGTGGCATGCGCCTACAGTCCCAGTTACTCGGGATGCTGAGGTAGAAGGATAGCCTGAGCCCAGGAAGTGGAGGCTGTGGTGAGCTGGGATCATGCCACTGCACTCCAGCCTAGGCGACAGAGTGAGACCCCAACTCAAAAAAAAAAAAAAAAAAAAATGCTCATTTCCACTCTCTTCATTTTCTTAAAATTCTACAGATTTGAAACAAAGTCTAATAGTAAGTCATTTCAAATCTTTTGCAGAAAAAAGCAGAGAAATAAACAAAACAGGTACTTTTAAAATTCCAGATGGCAAAAGAGTCTCCTCTTCATGTAGCCATGGAGATATGCTTTCGCCATATGATTTTTGCCCTTACACACAACATCACTGTCTTCTTTCACAGGGAAATGGCAAGACTGGCATTAAAACATTTTCTTTAGACTAAGCTCTTTATAAATAAAACAACTCCTGCTGAAAGAAACTCATATGAGTTTACTAATAATTATTTCTTGTGGTTATTTTAACAGCCATTTATAGACAAATTTAAGGTTGTAAAGAACCAGGTACAGATTACAACCTTAAATGTAAATAACCAAGCAGGTTGTAAAGAACCAGGTACAGATTACAACCTTAAATGTAAATAACCAAGCAAAGCATGTTCACTTTGGCTGTCCAAAGACAGTAGAGAGCTCAGGGCTCTACCCTCTGGCCTGGCAGAGAAGCAGTTCCCATGCAGAACTTCTGATTTCAAGGGTACTCAGGATCTGGGAGGAAAGTTCCTCTTACTGACTGAGGACTGTGGTGGCTCATGCCTATAATCTCAGCACTTTGGGAGATGCAAGGACTGCCTGAGCCCAGGGGTTCAAGGCCAGCCCAGGCAACTTGGCGAGACCTCATCTCGACAATAAATTTTTTTTTTTTTTTTGAGTTGGAGTCTCACTCCATCGCCCAGACTGGAGTGCGGTGGCCGCTCCCAGCCACTGCAGCCTCGACCTGCTGGGCTC